GCAGAGATTTGTTGTTTGGACACTTCTGGGGTAAGGATGCGTGTAGTCTTAGCATCCTTCCCGTCATAGAAGTATTCCTCTTCCTCCTCCTCATGGTGAGGGATGTGTTCAGCTTGGTCCTCGCCCTTGCTCTGACCCTGGCGTACAACCTCCATCAGTTGGGCCACTTGCTCGCGGAGGGTATTGACCTCCGCAGTGAGCTTTCGGTTTTGCTCCTCTAAATTTTCCATTGCTTTGGCTTTCTGCGTGCGAGTGCGAGTGGGGAGAGGACCAGCCACTTTCTAGAATGCCCGAAAAAGGTTTATTAATGTATGTTGAGTGTTTAAACTAACATTGATATGCTTATGCATGAGAGATTCTGTTTAAATGATGTTGAATGTGCTCTCGCTTTTTATTTTTTTCTCTTGGTTTTTCTTTACTCATGATATGATGTAATATGAATGTTTTGACTTTGTTAGAAGTTGATTTATTTTCTGGTATTGTATTTTGATTTTTATTTATTTTATAGCCTTTTATCTCTTCTGTTGGAACTGCGTGGCTACTTAGCTTACAAAGAACCTGAAACCAGACTAGCTAAAAAGCAGACTGTCCGAGATAAAATGCGGCTTTATGTGAAAGAATATTTAGCGTCCCTTATCTCTTCTGTCGGAACTACGTGACTACTTAGCTTACAAAGAACCTGAAACCAGGCTAGCTAAAAAGCAGACTGTCCGAGATAAGGGCGTTTATTTGCGAAAGTATTTTTGTGATTTTTTTGTTCTGTTGTTTGTTTATGCTATGCAACAGACAAATGCAACAAACATATGCGCACACAATTCGATCATCCCCGAACAGGCGAGAATTCGTTTTTATCACGAGGTAGGATTTTCCTGCAGAAAAGTGCATTGCGCGAGGGTAGGTTCTAACTGTTCTCACCAGGCTAAGGCCCCCAAGGTGCCCCCATTATACGGTCCCCACTCTCCAGCCGTCCGACCATGCTTAGCACTAAGGCCATAGTCAGTCTTGTTGCCAAAAGAGGAAGGTTATCACCTTGAGTGGTGGTTTCCGATCACACTGGTGGGCTCAAGGCCCTCATTACAGCGAACCATACCTGCCACCCACTCCCTATGGATTTCTCACTTGCCCCCGGGTATAGAGGGAACTGTAGTGTGCAAAGGTTCTTGTACAGTTTGTATTTCAAACAATTGCGTAAGCATAAACAAGCAACAGTTATTAAAGCCAAACCGTAAAATATGTTATAATACAAGGTAAGGGCAAAAGCGTTATTCTCTTAGTTTATTTATTTTTAAGCTGGCCCATCACTAAATGGGATCAACTCTCGAGGTTTCCCCAGTGGAGTCGCCATCTGTCGCCGCCACCGAAATGAGGGGGTGGTCGGAGCGACGCGATGGTTTCGACCCTCTTGATTTTCGCGTTTTTTATGGGTGGTTACAACGCCTTTAGGTTGTCCGATAACCGGGCTGAACCTAGGGACGAGGTTTTCGAAAGGGCGTTCTTGGGTTGTCCGATAACCGGGCTAACCCAAGAACTAGTTTTTGAAGGGTTCTGTGGAGTCGCCACCGATGTTTTTACCGGAAACATCGAAAAAGGAGTTTAAAAGGCGTTGGTTTTCGAAAAACCAACTTTGGTCGTTAGAATCAGAGTTGGGTAAGGGAGTTAGTTACGTGTAAAGGAAGTATTAGTTCCTTTACGACGCCCCTTTCGGGTTCCCTATGACAGGCCAGCTATTTTATTAATAAATAAACCGGAAAAACACGCTTTTGCCCTTTTATTTTGCGGAATTTAAAATAATGACTACATGGCCCTAATTTATTGCATAATTTAAAATTAAAACGGTAAAAGTAGAGAGGGAGAATTTAAACCTCCGAAGCAAACTTTCTTTTTATTTCTTTAAAAAAAGAGGGTGCTTTGTGGCAGCCCTTCACTCTTACACAGCGCTGGAAACTTTTCTAGACGCCGAAAAACGCTCACAAAGGCACTCAGAAGCTCCGGAAATGCGTCGGAGGGATTTTAGGGAGAAGTTTTAGAGAGAAGGGAGAGCAAAGCTGTGTGTGGGGTGTGGAAATGAGGGAATGGAGGCCCCTATTTATAGGGTTTCGCGCCTGACAGGTCGAGACCGTCGTCTCGTCTGACAGGGTCGAGATCGCCGTCTCGTCAACCGAGACTGCCGTCTCGTTCTATCAAAGTGGCGAGACGACAATCTTGCCCAACGAGACTGCCGTCTCGCCCTTCGCAGGTGGCGAGAACGCCCTCCTGGAAAGCGAGACCGCCGTCTCGCCATTCGCAGGTGGCGAGACCGCCGTCTCGCCAAACGAGACGGCAGTCTCGCCACTTGTATGAGGCGAGACGGTGGTCTCGTCCCAAAAAGGCGAGAAACCTTATTTTTTTGGTGCAGAAAATCTCTCCTATCCTAGTATGGGGCCTAATAGTCTCTCCTAGTGGCTTTTTAGGCTTCGTCCATCTTCGAATAGGAGTCTTCTACTCTTTATTTGGAGGTCGGGCAAGATTTGAGGTCTACATAACTAATATTATTTTATTTATAATTTATATTTATTAGATTTTATTATGTCATAATTTTTTATCTTATTATTCTTATTTATTATATATCAAATTTTATCTTAATAAAATAATTGTATTTTAAAATATTAAAAATAATTGATAATTTAAACTTTCATTACTTCGAACTAATTAAACAAGAGTTAACTTATTAAATATTTTCTTATAAATTATATATTTTATATTTTTAAATGACATCTTAAAAATGAATTAACTTATATATGTAATAAAATGTTTGAATACAATATTATAATAATAATAATGTTATAAGTATTCAAATATTTGAATACAATGTTATAATAATAATAATAATAATAATAATAATAATAATAATAATAATAATAATAATGTTATAAATATTCTCTCTCTATATATATATAAAATGATTAAATATTTCTTTTACATACATATTTTAATATAAATATAATAAATTATAATATATATATTTAATTAATAATAATTATAAATTATAAAATTATAAATATTTATTTATATATAAAAAATACATAGTAAAACTAACTTATTATAAATATAATTATCTTTTTAAAAATAATATAAATCGGGGATGAGACGGGACGAGGGCGGAGAACCCGAAACCCAGCGGGGACGGGGATGAGGCAAGACCTACTACTTAATTTGTATTTATAAATCTTTTGGAATTTAGAATATGGCAAAATAATTTTGCAAAATAACTGTGAGGTTGTATCTGCTAGAATTTTCCATACATCTTGCGATCTTATGAAAAATTATTTCATTCTTGTGGTGGTCATCCTTAGACTTATCAAACCTTGATTTGTAGTGTATTCCCTTTATTCATGTTATCTCTGTTTTTACTTTTCAATTTCCAATTTTTCTATTCTTAATTGATTCTAGTCCTTCAATATTTGTGTATATTATATTTAGAATCGTATCACAACCTATGTTAATATCTAATAAGCTTATGGTTAATATTATTTTTTAATATGTGATTTGAGAGAAACACTTAGCTAAACGTTTGAGAGATTAAGTGTATTTTTTCCAAATTAGATTTCTTATCTTAATATGTTATGATTAACATTCAATCAAGGGTTTTTCCAAAGAAAGGAAGGAGATGTACTCTTTTCACAATTTTCGGTAAGATTTTATTATCAAAGTTAATATGGTTCCTTTAACAGGGTTTAAATGAACCAAGGTCAAAGAAAGGAAAGAAATGTGAACCAAAATCAAACACTAAAGTATTTTACACTAAAGGATTTAACTTAAATTTAGTAAGAACAAATATAGGTATGAATTTAGTTATTTTCTATATTTATTCAAACTAAACATCTATATTTTTTGTATGTTTTAAAGATATTCTTTACCTCTATTATAATCATCTTAAACTATCTTATCTTATCTTTTTTTTTCCTTAAAACTTAGTCATACTTCTACTTGAAAATCCCCTCTAATATCTCTATGAGCTAGAATCGTATCAATGTAATATATATATATATATATATATATATATATATATAATATATATATATATATATATATATATATATATATATATATATATATATATATATATATATATATATATTCTCATAGAGTCTTGTTGCTTGTTTTTAAAAATTTAAGTACTATTTTTTTTCTCGTTTATCTCAAATCAAATCAATTAATATGATTCTTCATTTATTTATTTTCTCCAATTTTTTTTACCTTATTTATTTTGTATTTTTTTTTCATAGCTCACTATGTCAATATGAGTTTTATAATAATTTTTAAACATAGTTTATATTAAATCATTTTAATTCTAAACATTTGAGGGGTTTATATATTTATTTTATTAAGGTAACCAAATTGTAATATGTCTAAATTTCTTTGTTAAAATTTTAATGTTAATTATCATATATTTTAAATATTTATTAGGAGAAATATATGTACTAGAAATTTTGAAGTAAGTAGTTACCACTATGCTATATATTTTAGGATAAATTTGATGTGATAATGATTTTATATTTTTCTTATAGCAATGATCTTATATATTTTATTAAAAGAAATCCGATAAATAAATACGGGTCGAGAGAAATGAAGTATATAATCGAGAAGACGAGAGCATTTCAGAGTTGCTCCATTAATTTCCAATCGTGGGGCAAGTGATAAACTGAATAACAAGCCATTCTATCTCATCATGAAACCCTAATCCACTCGAATCTCTCGATCTGGGTACAGCAATCCTTCCACTCTCGTCTTCGATTTTCATCTGTAAGTGCACTTTATCCATTCCCTTCACTCCCTGTCGATCCACCTGATAAACGATGCCCATCTTTTCAATATCTCATTTCAATTCACAATTTCCCGTCGTGCTTTCCCTGTTTCCCCAAAATTCATCTCAAATCTGACACATAAATCTCGAATTGTTCACTCCCTTGGTTACCCTAATTTTTCAGGTACAAAGATCCGGCACGAGCGTTACCACGACGATGGATGGGAACAAGGACGATGCGTTGAAATGTTTGAGAATCGGCAAAGAGGCGTTAGAAAACGGCGATCGTTCACGCGCGTTGAAGTTCGTGACGAAGGCGAGCCGCCTCGATCCCACGCTCCCCGTCGACGATCTATTGTCTAAAATAGAGGCGGACACAGGGGATCAGCCCCCTGCCGCGGAGGCGGCGGAGCCCACCAAGTCCCCCGATCAGCCTTCTATCCGCCGAAGGGCCACCACATCGGCGGGCCCAGCGGGTTCCTCATCCTCCTCGTCTGCCTCGTCCTCTTCGGCCACATATACCGAAGAACAAGTTTCAATTATCAGAGAAATTAAGAGGAAGAAAAACTTTTATGAGATATTGGGGTTAGAGAAAAGTTGCACTGTTGAAGATGTGAGGAAGTCTTATAGGAAACTGTCTCTTAAGGTTCATCCCGATAAGAACAAAGCCCCTGGCGCTGAGGAAGCGTTCAAGGCTGTGTCAAAGGCGTTTCAGTGCCTTAGCAATGAAGAGAGTAGGAGGAAGTATGATGTTTCCGGTGAAGATGAATCGATTTACGAGCGGCGTGCCGCGAGACCAGCTGCAAGGGGTTATAATGGTTACTATGAAAATGATGTTGATGCTGAGGAGATATTTAGGAACTTCTTCTTTGGAGGAATGACCCCAGCAGCCAATTTTGGAGGATTCAGTTTTGGACCAGGTGGTTTCAATGGTTTCAATGGTCATAGGCCTGCCGAACATGCTTCTGGTGGTTTTAATGTTCGTGCTTTAATTCAGTTGCTGCCGGTTCTACTCATATTGCTATTAAACTTTTTGCCTTCGTCGGATCCCTTGTACTCGCTGTCGAAGAGCTATCCCTATGAACATCGGTTTACTACACCTAAGGGTGTTAACTATTATGTCAAGTCTACAAAGTTTGTTCAGGATTATCCGCCGGAGAGCGAAGAACGAGCAGTACTTGAAGAAAGGGTGGAGAGGGAGTACTTCAGCGTTCTCCGCCAGAATTGTCATTTCGAGTTGCAGCGCCGCCAATGGGGGTATATCCGGGAAACACCGCACTGTGATATGCTGCGGAAGTTTGAGTTGGTGAATTGATAAGTGGAATCATTATCCTATTTTTATTTTATGTCTTACTTTTTGATGTAGATGCAACAGCTTTCACCTGCTTGTGATACTATAGAATGTACAATTTAATTTTTTCACTCTGAGATTAGTGAAGCAAGTTCACAATAAGCCAGCTGCTTTGTTGGATTGTTATATCTAATATCTCTATGATGGATCTTTTCTTTACTTGCTGAAACCATTTATTACCTGAGGTATGGTCTGAATGCATTGGCACACTTGTGTACCTAAATTGTCTTTTGACTGGTGTGTATTCTATGCTGTGTGGTTGAGTAAATAGTTATGTATTATTTTGCTATAATGCCTTGATAATTCTGTTGATTTTTATTGTTGCAAAGTGACAACTTTTACATATTACGTTAATGCTTTAGCTGTAATATAGTAGAGCATAAATTGATAAAGAGAATGTGGGATGGGCAATGAATAAGCATGTCTCTGAGATGGCAAAAGGAAGAAGGCAAAGATAGAGGCATCAGCTTAAGGCTTTCATGATTTTGCATCATTATCAAAAGAAAATAGTGTTTAGAGGATGGTAAAGATTTGCTGAAACTGGATGTGTGGAGTAATTGATTTCATAATTGAACAACATACTAATAAACACCCAGTTAACAAATCTCTCTATTATTGTCACACACCATATCACTTTTCACTTTCCTATTTCTTTCTACTTCCTTGTGTAGACACCCCGAGGGTTGTCCACCAAACATTTTCCTTATGCATTAAATAGCTATGAATAACTTTCTTTGCCTCCTTGATACCTGATAAATGGAAGCTCTCTTATTAAGAATTTTTATTTAACAAGCGAAAGACGAAGGTCTATGGCCCTTTGGCCCCATCTGCGTGTTGACTTTTACAATGATATGATCTATAGCTTATCCATCATGTATATTAAATTTACGTTTCTTAGGGGCTTGTTTCATTTAAACAGTGGTATGTTTATCTGTGCTATGAGTTGATATGCCATGGCCTGTGGGGTGTACCTTGTTTGGGTCTCTGCATGAAAGATAAATGATATGCCCATTGAGGAGAGACAGAAATAGGCTAACCAAGTTTGATAATGTAGTGTATGTTGTTTTATTGGATTGAATTGTGTCTATTTCATTCATCAGGCTCAGAAGATAATAGTCATTTTTTATTTTCTACCCTTTAACTAAATGAGTGGCATTATCTTGGTATATAAGTTTGTATGTTCAAATGCATTATTATAGATAAGTATATATTTTCAATGAATCAGTTTATTGTCACTCTTTAGGTTTTGGGGTTGTATTTATGTCTGTTATGTGTCAACTTATGGCCAACTTATTTTGATGGCATGTTGGCTGGCACTTTAAACTTATCTTGGCATTTGATGAATATATCTCTCGGTGCATATTGAGTGGCTTATTTAATATATCATTTCTTACCTATTTGAGAAACATAAGATGGTGTGTTGTAAATTGTAATGTGTCCTTAGTTGTGACATTTTCTCTGTTTGGTGAAACCTTGCAGTTTATTTTCCCTTTTCTTAGAAAATAGTTGCAATCTGGATGAGGGTGGTGAAAAGTAATTAAACCAGAGTAACCATGGGGTGGTCACTAGGGCTAACTTATGTGGGAAAACGTATAAAGGAAAATACCAAGGATCCTGAGCGCTTTGGGTTGCGCTTGACATTTTTCAACTGTATTTTGTTTCTCAATATTTTTAACTTGGACATCATTTAAAATCATAATTTTTTTTATAGGAGGAAAGTCAAAAGTCCCATTCAAACCTATCAAACGAGATCTTAAGATGTTAATTAATGGAGCGGATGTATGGATTGGGATTAAATTTTACACGTTTAACAACTTCATGGTTACTATTTGGGATTTTCTTGTTCGATTCAGTTTGTGTTAAAAATTTTATTTGAGGTAAACATAACAAATTAAATATAAAAATCAGATGCATTATATTTGTTTTGATTTTAAAATAATATAAAATTTAAATAAAATCAAATTAACTTTTTACAATTCAATTTCTTGTTGCTATAAAATTGTTAAATATTTTTAAAAAAATGATTAGATATTTTATGATTAAAAATTCTTAAGAGAAATATATTTATTTATTTTTGGATAATTAAATAATTTTTTAATTAAAAATTATAATATGAATTTACTATGTTTTGATGAGTATTATTATATGGTAATTACAATATAAGTAGATGGTCAAGCTATGTATTAATTTATGATTATTAGTTACTAATTAATTTTAAATATAATATGATATTTAGATAAAAAAAGTGATCTTGCTTGGTTTGGTTATTGATTTTAAATTTTATTTCGTTTATAAGAAACCCTCAAATGTCAAAATTGAGTTCCAAACAAGATTTAAATGAGAGAAAGATTCACTAGTGATGACTCTTCAATTATTAGGTTGATATAAATAAAACAACAATGTAATACTTTATGAATAAGAGAATTAGAGAATATGTATGTTGAACTCTTAATAAACCTCTTATCAATACTTGTATTATTAACAAATAATATCATTTAAAGGATTATTCACAAGATTTTATGGTACCAGAGTATATTATGATTTTATTCTTTATGTATTTTATTGAATATATGGGTTTAATGAGACATTTTGATTGCTATTTATATTAATAATATTTGAGTTTTAATGTCATTAATAAAGCATATTCTATTTGGATTTAAGCTACCTGTATAGTGTGCAGGTAGGCGTAGGTATACAAAATCTCAAAGCTCAAAATTTATGCGACACAATTGTCAAGCTCTTAAAATAAATTGGTTTAGTGTAAGTGGTTATGAAGTCATCTTATATGTCTTGAAAAGTTTTGAAAAATATTTTTGTGGAGGTTCAACAGAGTTATGTTTAGTCTAGCTAAACATTTAAGTTGATTGAGCTTCGAATCAGTTGTTTCTTGGAGCTAGGGTATTAGAACACTGTCTAATGTTTTTATATCATCTTATGAACTTGGAAACGAGAGAGGACGAGAAAATGAGACTTCTTCTTTGGTACAAGTCAAGGATGCTGAGGTGGCAGAGGGCGCATAAATCAATAACCAAGTTACAATAAATTGTGCCCCAACAACAAAAGGAAGCAGAGGTATGAAGTGTTATGAACATATTGCTAATGGTTTTGGAGGTGGAGAAAACTCGAGTTAAGCCAAAAAAACAACATCTTTATGCAATTCTAATGTAAATTTGCGACACACAGATATCTTTTTAAACTCTAGTCAAATATCTGTTTTAAAACCTAACAAATATTAGATTCAAATCATAGTAAATCATCGTTATAATTGATTTTATCATTTTCTTAACATGTGATTGAAACCAAATACAAATGCGAAGGTTAACAACCATAATCAATTAAGAAGAAATACAAGTAAGAAGCAAATCCCAAACATAATACACATATTTAAATTATATTATCATAATGAGAAATTATGACAAAATTTATTAACGTTAATGAAATTTATTTATTTATTTAAATATTTATATTTATTTAATCAATTTTAGTGTAATGATTACATATTTTTGAAATATATCAAGTTTTACTTTTAAGATTCTTATATAATTTATGTAATATTACTTTCTTACACTCTTTGTCCCTGGAAAAAACTAAAATTTCTGTAAACTATATTACACTCTTTGTCTCTAAAAAAGTTAAATTTATCAAGAATTGAATCCTTATTCCTTCTTAGTTAAAACTAGCAATCCTAATGCCCCAATCAGTGTATACTGCAAAAAAAGAAAATGATGATTGATGAATGAACATTAAGATGCTGATATTGACACAGTATTAAACTGTAGCCCAAAAAGAACAAACCTTGAGAATAGGCATATCAGTCATTATTATCGTTGCCCAACCAACATAAGGCAAGAACCTGCAGAAAAGACAAAATGATGAAATCATGTGGAGTTTCAGAACTTAAACTATGTTTGGTGTAAATTTAGAAAAATGTTTTTGCAACTTTCTTCAAAGAAATGAAGAAGAACAATATTAAACTCTCTCAAAATCTAATCCTAAAATGTACTTGTCATAATGCAAAAGGATTTACCCGACAGCTCTTCCCATTATGTGATGATTTTGCAACCACTTCTGGCCAGGATTATACATAACCCTGTCATCCAAAGGGTTGTTGTCTCCTGAAATGCATATCATAAAATGTGAATGTTTGGTCAATTGATGAAAGAAATTATTGAAACAAAAAATAAATAAAAAAATTCACACCATGAAAACAACTAACAAGAAAAAAAATTATAAACATAGCCATAGAAAAACTGATAACCAAATGGCTTTCTTTCTAATTAAATGGATCATCCGCTGACAATTGGAATATAATATGGACATATTATACAGGCACTATATCTATTATACCTTTTGTGAGGATATAAGTTTCTTCGGTATTTTGACGTTCACGAACCTATAAAAAAAAAAATCAACAAATTGAGTGATATTTATTATAGTCATCAAATATTATTCAAATTTTGAAGATAGAACCAGCCAACAAATCCATTTTATGAAAGCAAAGATAACTCTGATCGAGCCAGAAGAACAATTATCTTTAACTTTTCACCAACGCTATTCCTTTCTTCATAGACAACTCTTTGTGTTTCTTTATGTGAAGTTCTGCACAATATTCTACAACTATGTGATATGGACTTTTCATACTACCGCAACTTACCTTAGCAGAGCAGGCATGTAAGTGCAGACGAAAGATCATTACTCATTAGTGTGCATTTTCTGATTCAAATATATATATATATATATATATATATATATATATATATATATATATATATATATATATATTTGTTTATTATAATCTTACATTGTGTGAAGTGAGTAGAACGTAAAAAGTTGAGCAGAAAATTAATGTCATCCAAACCTCAATTACTCGGTGAACAATTGGAATGTCTTTTCCCTGTACAATGTGTAGCCATTTGTCAAAAAAAAAAAAAAAAGTTTAGTTACAACCACATTAAACATAAATAAATCTGTCAAGACTAGCAATATATTCCAAGAACATAAATGATGGCTTTTTCCACCAAACTACATATAAAACATAAACCCTAAATTATATACAATAAACATACATTTAAGGGTCAAAACCAAAAGTTTGGAACCTTCTACCCTTCAGAGAACAAGGTAAGAGATAATAAGGATCCTACCCAATATTGCAATACATGAATGTTATTGAGAGTTGTTAAAAGGTTAAGGGTTTGTTTGGTGTTGAAAAAATTGAGAGGATGAGGGAAGATGAAATCAATTTAAGTAGGGAAAAAAGAGGACATGTAAATTTAAAATGGATGGAACTCATTGTGCTTTTTCTAAAAAATAGCACCATTTTTTGTTTTAACTTTTATGAAAATCTTGTTGATTGAAGTTTCTAACTAAAAAATAATGTGATTTAATATCTTGTAACACTTATTTTCAGAGAATGACTAAAATTTTAATCTACGATAAAGAATTAATACTTCTAATTATAGAAATAAATCATTATATTTAGACAAGAAATTGATAGAATAATATTGGAAAGCATTTCAAAATCCGTGACCAATTCAGAAAACAATATAATAATGTGGGAATGATGATACATACATCTATATTGTAAACCACAATATCTCCTGCACGAATGGGATTCTTGCCCATGTGCAAGAACAAAATGTCACCCTGTAAGAAAACCAAATAACCATTCACATTATTGGCACACGTTGAAATAAATAATCCAAAAATAAAGAATAAAAAAAAAGTAAATTGCAATCACATCTTCTAACATTTTCTCAAAATTCCACCTATATCTTTATTTGTGTGCCATTACCTTCTTTATGGAAAAATGTAAATACAATGTTGTCAAAACTTAAAAAATTACATATATAATATAAAAAAAATAATGAAATAAAATGGAAAATTTTGTATAATTTAAAAATTATTTGAATCTGGGTATGAATTGAGGAAATAAATATTTTGAAGTGAAAATTTATTTTAAAATAGAGAGCCAGACTTACTCGACGGAAACCAGGTTCCATACTTCCAGAAATAACAACGACGAGGGGTGATTCACTGCCGCTAACACAGATTAACCCTTTCCATATCACGAGCGCTGATGCTGCAATCAGGCCTGAAACAGGTTGCAAGAATAACAGGAATTAGCCACCATTAGTGAATCAATTTGCATAATCTTTGTTGAATTGGTTATTGTGAAAGGAAGGGGAAAAAAGGAGAATGGTACCGAGAGTGATGAACTGGCTGAATACTTGTCTGAGTTGAATGGAACTGATGGAGCGAACAGTGTCTGCGACCCAACCCATTTTTCTATGCGCAGTGGTTTGTGATTCTTCCTCCGAACTGAAACCAAACGAAGGATATGCTTCGCTCTTGCATGGCAAACTCGAAGCTCTAATGTTTATTCCAAGGGTTGACTCTGCTCACCACACCTCCAATTCAAACCCATAAAAGTGGTTCCGTCAATGTCTATGCGACACGTGTCCCTTCTTTTCAAAACTATTTTCTGGCTGATTTACAAGTCTTCATTTATGTTATGTAATGGGCCATTTACAATATTGTTTGAATATTTATTTTATTCTTATGAATTTTATTATTTAATGGGTCATTCGTCATTTATGTTATTATTATATTTTATTTTCAACAATGATATAATATTTTCTAAAGGAAATAATTTTTATGATCCACATTTTATTGTTTAATCAGGCAACGGAAAGTGTTTATCATTATAATTAACATATTTTTTCAACATTTAATTATTTTCTACCTTGAAATATCAATTATGGAGAAGTTTTCATAAATTTAATTTATTTTCAATCTTTCCTACAAAATTTATAACCCTTACCCTTTAATTGAAAGGCGCGTGTAACAAATGCAATCTTGCAAAGAAGAGGGAAAAAGGAACGCATTATTCTCACACGTCAGTGACATGACACCCACCACACATTCATCTCTGTCTAGCGTCAACCACGAAGTCAATAACAGTCTATTATTTCTTTTTTCTTCTAACTAATTACAAGTTTATTTCTAATGTTAAATGAAGAATTAAATGTTGTATTTATATATTCCATCATATAATTATAATAATAGTAATAATAATACTATGAATTTTGATTATTAAATTATTATACACATATAGTTCAATGGATTTAAAAATTATTCGAATTACTAGAATGTTTAAGTTTGTTTTGTGAATTAAGAGAGCAGTACCATAAAAATCATGTTTAAATATTTTTTTATTTATTTTAAATGATTATTATTTAAAATTATTTCAAATCTTTTATCTTATACATTATAATATTAATTATTTTAAAGAATTTTTATCAATAGATATAGATATGTCCATTATAACCTTACGTAATATAATAGAATTAAACAAAAAATATAATTCATTCATATGTCTCATTATTCGATGTACAACAATTAAATAATAGCTTATACTTTCAATTTTCACAATTTTGCTAATGCATTATTTATTTTTTTAACTTATTGTTTACGGATTATATGTCAATATATTTATGATTGCTATGATATATTGACCACTAATTATTGAAATACATTTTTTACTGTAATTTTATTATATATTAATGAAAATAAAAAAATCAATATGCAAGATGTTTCTAGAATGTAATAATATAAATGTTTTTATTTGAGTCAAATATAATCATTATATTTAAAAAAAAAACTTGTTTTTCTCTCTAAATATTCAGCTGTACATTTCAATGTTCAAATTCAAAATATCTAACTAATTCAACACAATTTTACATCTATATTAATAAAAAGTGAGTTAAATTTAAAAAATAAATAAATTAGGTTTTATTTGCATTTTCATTTTTTCTAAAATAATAATATCTTTATTCTTGTTTATATAAAAAAAATAACTTTTAAAAAATACTAACAAATAAAATAATTAAAATTGACTTAATCTTTTTTTGTTTATAAATAAAAATGTTGCAATATATACAGTAATTTATAAGAAAAATTAAGTGTCAAAATGACTTTTCAAAAGAGGGAAAGCTTTTCATCGTGGGCTACTCCTTTCGTAATCACAGAGACAGTGAGAGCCACCAAGAGTTAAAGCAGCATGTTTCTCCAATTTTGGTTCGCCACAGACGCACCCTCTGTGCGCGTTTCACGCCAACATAGATCCTGCGCCGTTACTTACACCACGCTACGCTACGCACTCCACTCCCAAAACACTGCACATAATGGAACCCAGCAAGCACCACAACAAGGCCAAGAAGAAGTGGTTCCTCCCACTCGTCCTCTCTCTTCTCCTCTCCACCTTCCTCCTTCTGCTTTCCATTCTTGCTTCCTCCTACTCCTCCTCCCAACGCCACCGCCGTAGCCAAGACCCGACGGAAGTGCCACGTTTTGTGGAGTCGAAGCTGAGGGTGAGTCCCACATCGCCTAGGGCAGTGCCGCGAATCGCTTACTTGATCTCGGGGTCAGCGGGCGATGGGGAGTGTTTGAAAAGGACGCTGAAGGCTCTGTACCATCCGTGGAACCAATACGTGGTGCATTTGGACCTTGAGGCCTCCACGAAGGAGAGGTTGGACCTCGCGGATTTCGTCACCAACGAGCCTTTCTTTGTGAAATTCGGAAATGTTAGAACGGTGGTTAAGGCTAACTTGGTTACCTACAGAGGGCCCACTATGGTCGCTAATACCCTTCACGCCGCCGCCATTTTGTTGAATCAAGCTGGGGACTGGGATTGGTTCATTAATTTGAGCGCTTCCGATTACCCTTTGGTGACCCAAGATGGTAGGAACCTCCTCCTCTCCCATTCTAATCTTTAATTTCTTTTTAACTTGCAAACTTCGTGGATATGCATAAATTTTTTGCTTAATAATTTTAATCAAATAATAACACAACAAATAAAATTAGTTTATTGAAATATTAAAACTATTTTATGCGAAAAAAAGTTATAAAAATTCTTATAAGATTTTTTTTAATTTGTATATAATTTAGTTGTAACTTAACTTGGTTTAACTTATTGTTTTTACGGAGAAGTTTGTTAAAAAAATCCTTTTCATTGATGATGTTTCGTTAATTTGCTTTTTTTGTTCTTCAGTGACAACCAATCTTGTCTTTTATCTGTCTTCTTGTTGCTAATTTTGCTCCCTCTTTAGTTAAATATAAATTTTTGTTTAGCAAAATTGAAAGATAGTTTGATTAGGAGCCAATCTGTGTGTTTGAAGTAGGTGTATCCAACTAAGCATCTACTCTTAGAAGTAGGTCTGTCTCACTTAAAATCAGTTTCCATACCTTTGTTTGACCAGAAGTTATATATGTCGGCAGACTCACTCTCCCTCACTACTATACTCTAGCTATCGACTAATAGGATTTTGCATTTTTTAGTTATTATAAAAACTCAAAAAATGTGTCATATATATTAATTTATATAACATTATAATATGCTAGTAATAGATAATATACTATATACACGGTGATTATATTAATTTTTAACAAATAATAGCATAAAATTACATTGCCAAATATACCTTTTAAACTCCTTATATTATATATTACTGTATCAAATAATTATAAATAATTCTTGAGATATCTTTGAATTAGTATCATACAAATTAATAAATCTATCACACACACACACACACACACACACATATATATATATATATATATATATATATATATATATATATACATATAATTATCATAATAATAGTAGTTTGTAATTAAATGAATATTGTAAATATATTTTAATTAAAGTTTAATCAAAAGTGTATGTTATAGAATGCTGAATAGTAATATTTTTCAAGAAATGTACATTGTGGAAGAATTTAATGATTTACTGATTAATTTTGCTAATTTGGAACTTCAAAATTAATGAAGACAGAGAGAACCACCAACGATGATATGATGCCCAGTTTGAACTATCATTGACCAACTTTTGCAATTTGCTCCATTTCTTTTGCACAACAGATCTGCTGCATACGCTCTCGTCTATTCCCAGATACCTGAACTTCATTGAACACACCAGTGATATTGGTTGGAAGGAGTAAGTTACCAATTATTTTCGCCATTCTGTTCATCGCATGGTTAATGCAAACATCAATGTATCCCTTTTTTAAAAGGGCTACTTTACTCGTTTGAATAGGTATCATAGAGCCAAGCCAGTTATACTTGATCCAGGTCTTTATAGTTTGAATAAATCAGATGTATTTTGGGTATCGGAGAAAAGAAATGTGCCCACGGCTTATAAACTGTTTACAGGTGAGAAACTTTTGCCTATCATTTTTTACTAATCAACATTTTACTTTCCGCGCCCACCTAGTCAAATTTCTAATAACTTCTTAAAATTCTAGATTGTTTAAGTACTAAAAAATCACACACTAATCCCTGCATAGATTAAAAGACAATTACAAATACTCAGAGCAGTTAAGGAAATTTTTGAACAAAGTCTGACACTAATAATGTAAAGTGTGAAAGATAAGACATTGGTATTTGATAGTACTGTGTAACTGTGAAGGCATTTACAACTAACTTGTTGCATGAGATCACAGTTTACTCGAATGCGAGTTAAACAACTTTTCCATTAATAAAAATACTTAAAATTAAAGAAAGCAACTTGAAATTGGTAGTCTCAATTTGATGTTATCATAGTTGTTAAATGTTGATTCTTGATTTTCCACAGGTTCTGCCTGGATGATGCTCTCTCGCCCATTTACTGAATACTGTATATGGGGTTGGGATAACTTACCTAGAACAGTCTTGATGTATTATGCCAATTTTCTGTCTTCCCCAGAAGGGTATTTTCACACAGTCATCTGCAATGCTAAGGAATTTCGTAACACTACTGTTAATCATGACCTCCACTTTATATCATGGGACAACCCTCCAAAACAACATCCCCATTTTCTTACAGATAATGACTACCAGAGAATGGTGGACAGCAATGTTCCTTTTGCTAGGAAATTTGGCAGGAACGAACCAGTCTTGGATAAGATTGATAAGGAACTCTTAGGAAGAAATGGAGATGGTTATGTGCCTGGCAGGTGGTTCAGTCCAGCAAATTCAAGCATTATTAACCATTATTCTGGCGTAGGAAATGTCACTGACCTAAGGCCAGGCCCTGGAGCTGAAAGGCTTGGACGCCTTATCAGTGGTTTATTATCAGCAGAAAATTTTCAAACAAATCAGTGTTCTTGACACCTGAGTTTGGAATGCCTATTATGTTCATTGCTGCATTTCCATTATCCAACCGCTGAGAGACAAACAATTCATTTCATCCGTTGATGCCCGGAGGTTGCTATGAGGTCAAACATGAAATATGAGTGCATTGAAGGGAAAACAGAAGTGGCTACCTTTGACTTGATATTCTACAGGAAATTTGTAAAAGGACCACGAGTATGCTGTCACTATATATCGGCAGGTCACACGATATGAAATTTAGAAAATATGAAACTCAATTATGTAATACGTGGGCAAGATCCTTGTTAGGCGGAAACTGAAATAAGCCAGTGTAAAACATTCTCCAAATTCTTTATGCAATGACGTTGTAGCTGCAGTATATCCTGTGTGTTTTTTCCTTTTTTTTTCTTTTGCTCTTTCTTTCCTAGTGGAGCTACTGCCTTCATAAATTCAGTAACCACAAGTTATATTTGATTTTCTTTTTCATGTCCATAGGTTCTTGGAAATAACAATAATTATGCTAAAAGCATGTAAGAAAACAATGTAGCAATAAACAATAGCTTATACCCCTCAAAAGTGCTTTAAAATCCCCATCTTGAGAATTGAATCCAGCAATTTGTACATTTCCTGTGCTTGAGGATGAGAATGATCACCTGCAAGAAACTCTTCAACTTCATTATCCACCTCTATTATGCTGCATCCAGGCTTCTTTTTCATCCCTATGTCTTCGATCCTACTCCTAACTTTTTTTGCCTCTGCTTCCCACCCAGCTTCTCTATATATATTGTAAGTAAGAACATGAGTACCACAGTCAGCGATCCCCATGTCAAGCAGTTTTTTCCATACTCTATTCCCAACATGAATATTTTTATGAATTCTACATGCATTAAGAAGAGCACCCCACACGTTAGCATCACTGGCTGCAAGTCCACCCATCTTCTCCATAAATTTTTCAGCTTCCTCTACCATGCCAGCTCTTGACAAAAGGTCAACAACACAAGCATAATGCTCCATTTTGGGGGCAACTCCATAAGAGCTACTCATTTCTTCAAACAACCAAAGGCCTTGCTGAATCATCTTTGCATGAGTGCAAGCAGTTAGGACAGCCACAAATGTAGTCTCATTCGGCTTAGTCCCAGAAGCAGCCATTTGGCAAAACAACTCCAGAGATTTCTCTGCATCACCATTCAAGGCAACACCAGAAATCATTGCATTCCATGCACCAGCATCCTTATCAACAATGCTCTGAAAAACAGATAAAGCAGGTTCAACACATCCACATTTGGAATACATGTCCACCAAAGCCGTTGCAAAAATTGGATTCGAGTCAAGTTGGAATCTCTTGGCATAGGAATGCACCCACATTCCCTGCGCCAATGCACCAAGATTGGCACACGCAGTGAGGACCGTGACAAGGACGGATTCATTCGGCTTTGTACCCTCCTTTTGCATCTCTTCAAACAAGGCCAGCACTTCCTTGAAGTCACTAACTCGAGAATACGCTGCCATCATGGCACTCCACGAGACAGAGTTTCTGTGAGGCATTTGCTCAAACACTTCTCTAGCCTTTTCCACATTCCCCATTTTACCGTAACCGTCAACCATTGCTGTCCCCAATACCACATCTTTCATTGTCGTTTTATCAAACAATACCCGTGCATTTTCCACCTCACGAGAAACCGAGTAAAACTCGATAAACGCACTCACGACGTAAGGGTCGTCGCGGAACCCGAACTTAACGACGTGGCCATGCACCAAACGGCCAATGACGTTCGAAGAAGGAAGAAGCGCAATGCAAGCCTTGACCAAAGGTGGGAATGTGTAGTTGTTAACAGCAATGCCGTTTTGGAGCATGGACAAGTAGCAGGACACAGAAAGGAGGGGTGAGCGGGCTTGGAGGTAGCCTCTGATCATGGTGTTGTGCATGAAGGTGTTGCGGTGGGTGAGGTGGCGGAAGATGGAGCTAGCGTAGGAGAAAAACGACGCATCGTTGGAGGTGGCTGCGACGGAGAGAAGCGGAGCGAGAGCATACGGCGTGTCGTTGATGCGGCATCGGAGGATGTGAGCGTGTAGTTGCTTGAGCTGGATTAGGGTGTTACATTTTTGTGCCACGGTTGTGAGGAGCCCCTTCTTAACGGTCATGTGATCATAAAATAGAGGGCATTTCTACTCTGCACTCTGCACAATAAAACACGAACCAACCAGCTATACACGTATCTCTCTCTATCTTTATTACAGTCGTAATTATTTATACCTTCTTCTCCTTTTGAGTTATAAAGAATTTAAACATTTCTAATTACAGAATAATCTCTAGATTCATTAACTAATTGACCAGATGATCTCTCCAACGATAGTTTGAAAACTCACTTCTATTTATCGCCCTATTCAAAATGTCATTAACTAATTTTATTCAAAAATTGATTGATCGCACATTTATGATTGTCTAATCTCAAAACTATATTGAGAAGTATAAGAGCTAAACTTCTTGCAGAGTCTAATATTTACTTGATTGTTAAAACCTGCAGGAGAAAATTCAAAGCCTTGTTTCATATATTTCTCAAGTGCCAACCACCCCATCTCTTATTAAACTAAACAACAATCTTATTCTTAAAGATCAAATTCATCATAGTAACTAGTGGTGGACACATGAGTAACATTTTCTCTGATCTCAAAATCAACCTCAATTTCCTTCCTTGATCACTCTTCTGCTAAATTTATAATTTTCTTTCCAATGTTCTCCCCTTTGAAGAGTCCAACAGAAGCAGAAGGGATGCTCTCCACACCCAATGAAATGTCTTCAATCACCTCTAACTTTCCTGTACGAAGATAATCCAAAGTTTTTGCGAAAAAATCTTCAAAAACATTCAGAAAATCAGCGGCCAAAAATCCTCTGATGTTGATTCTCTTGTACACAATTTCTAACATGTTTGGTGAAGCTTTCTTTCCACCACCTGTATACTCAGATATTACCCCACAAACAGCCACTCTTCCAAATATCCTCATACTAGCAACCGCTGCCTCAAGCATCTCACCCCCAACATTGTCAAAATATATGTCAATTCCATCAGGAAAATACCTGTAATATAAAACAAAAACTACATCAAACACTATATAATTGAAGTTATTATCTTCTGTTCAAAAACAAGCTTGTGATTTTATCTTCCATCACTAACAAACAAACCTTTTAAGAGTGGAGTTTAGATCTTTTTCCTCTTTGTAGTTGAATGCTTCATCAAAACCTAGCTTTTCTTTCAGCAATGCCACCTATGACAATAATGCATGGATGAGGCTCTTAAGCTTGAAATCCAAGTTAGCTTAGAATTCTTCTAAACTTTAGTCACCTCACCTTTCTCTGGCTTCCTGCACAACCAACAACATAGCAACCTAAAAGCTTTGCATATTGCCCTGCCAAATTTCCAACTGCTCCAGAAGCTGTTGAGACAAAGACCTTTTCACCCTTTTGGGGTTTACACAATTCAAAAAACCCAGCATAAGCTGACAGTCCGTTGAATCCTGCATTACTTAGAGGATGGAAATAAGTAAGTAAAATGAAATTTTCAAACATAAACAATACCAATTCAGATACTGTGATACAAAATGGTTTATTAGTAAGTTTTAGAAAGAAGTATTAAATTGGTAAAATTTGCTTTAAGAATTATAAAAAAGACAAGTTTTAAAGAATTACAAGAAGGTTGACTTCAATGAAGTTGTGCTTTGAATAACATTTTTTTAAAATAAAGTAACTGAAATCATGTTTTTCAGTAAAGAAAATCAAATTTATTTATCACAGCTTAACTAGAGTTTTTTTTTTTTTTTTAAGTCGTATTTTCATAGATGATTGTACAAATAATTTAGTAATTAATTTTTTATTTTTAAATATTAGGTATAAAATGGAATTTTTTGTTACACAAACATGAATTTGGGTTTATTTTAAAATGAAATTTATTTTGATTATCAAGAATATGTTGATATATAAAATAATATAAATAATGTGTGACAAAGAAATTATATTTATATAGATACTGATTTAATATATATATATATATATATATATATAAAGCTAAAATATTAGAAGATATTTTAGATGTTTCATTATTTGTGTGGATAATTACTTTGATGATAACTTTCATTTCGATACCTAAAACCTACTCAACAATAGCAAAAAGGAAGATTGTGAGGACATAATAGAATACCGACCTCTTGAAAAGCAAATTTGACCAATTTATTATTATATTGTTTATTATTTTGTAATACTTTATTTTATAAAAGATTGTTCAAAATATTTTGATTTAAAAATATTTGTTATGGAAAAAAATAAAAATTGAAAAATAGACACAATTTAATAATTTAAAAATTTTAAAACAATAATCACATATACAAATAATTGTTCAAGTGGGTATTGTGAATAAGAATTCGAGTTAAATTAAAAATAAAATAAAATAATAACAACGTTATTTATTTTAGGTGAAATTTTAAATAATATATTTAAAACTGAATATTACTTTTTATACAGCGAAACCAAGCCAAATAAAAAAGAAAACCAAGCCAAACAAGTGGCTAGATAAAAAAATAATTGAAATATGACTGTAATTTTAATTATTATTTTAAAAATGGAATCGGATTAACGCATTCGGTATAAATAATTAAATTAATATAAAATAGATAAAATAAAATAAAAACTCAATTGAATTTTTTTGATTGAACTAATTTTGGTAAAAAGTTAAAAAATAAATTTTTAATTTTTTTAAAATATAACTTTTTTTTAAAAGTAATAATCTTTTTTTCATCTCATATTAACTTTAGTTGATTATAATAATCATTTTCATTTTAAAAAAATATTATTGATAAATTCATTTTATATTTAAAATTTATATCTTCGTCTATTTGATTTAGATTTTAAAAATATTAATTTTAGTTTAAAATTTTTTATCTTATTTTCTTCCTCACATAAATAACACATAGTGATTTAAGACTGGGTTTGAACGAAAATCTGTAACTGACACAAATGTGTATCAACTACCCCAAACAAACTTTGCTTATACAGTAACTAACTAAACATTTTTTTCTTGTCTTTAATTTTTTTACTAGTTAGAAATTAAGTTTTTATCTTTGTGGTTAGTGAGTTTCGAATTTTCCGTCCTCTTTCATTTTTCAATATATATTATTTTTAAAAAATAATTACATTTATAGTAAATTAATTTTACTATCTATTTTTTATATATAAATAAATATTTATAATTTATAATTATTATTAATTAAATATATATTTTAGTTTATTATATTTATATTAAAATATATATGTAAAAGAAATATTTAATAATTTTTTATTTATAACATTATTATTATTATTATAACATTGTATTTAAATATTTAAATACTTATAATATTATTATTATAATATTATATTCAAACATTTGATTATATATATAAGTTAATTCATTTTTAAGTTGTTATTTAAAAATATAAAATATATAATTTATAAGAAAATATTTAATAAATTAATTCTTATTCAATTAGTTTGAAACAATAAAAATTTAAATTATTAATTTTTTTAATCCTTTAAAATATAATTATTTTATTAAGATAGAATTTGATATATGATAAATAAAAATAATAAGATAAAAAATATGACATAATAAAACTTAATAAATATAAATTATAAATAAAATAAAATAATATTAGTTATTATTAAGATTTATGTAAAATATTTAGAAAAAGATAAAAAATAAAAAAAGATTAATTTTGTGTTCATTAAATTGGTTGAAAAGATTGAAAAAAAAACAAATTGATGGGAGAGATTAAGAAAATGTGAAAAACTGAAAGATAAGAGAGAATAATGTAATAAACTAATTGATATAAAAGATTAAAAAAGATAAAAAAATTAAAAAGTGAGTAGAAGAAAAATAAAAATTGGTGAAATATAAAAAAATATATTATATGTAATAAAAAAAGATAAGGAAATACTTTTAAAATATCAATATTTTAAAATTTAAATTTAAATAAAAAGTCGAGAACGAGAACAAGATCAAGGTGAGATTGCATTACTCGTCTTCATCCTCATCCCCAATTTTTTAAAACAAAAAAACCTAAACTCACCTCGATCTTCTGTCAACTCAAATTTTAACCCTCAAACTCAACACAAGAATACCTCAGTCCCATATATAGGGATTGTGACTGACTCTAATTTTCTTAGAATACTCTCTTCTTTGATCAAACTGTACTCTGCGCAGGTGAATACTCCCAACACCAGGTCATCTTTCTTAAACTTGGCATTCCCCGAAGCCACAACTTTTCCAACGACAACACCATCAATAGCCTGGAAATGTCCCACACATAACCAACAACATTACAACTTCAATTAACATCATTTTAGATCAATTTTTATGTAATTAATTTTTCAAGGGAATTGATTTTAAATACAATAAAAGTGTCGAAATTTATGGCATATCTTCGAAATCAATTTTGCAAAACTAATTTCATTGATATACAAAATTGGAAATTCATCCACGCACTATATCAAAATTATGGAAATTCATTTCTTTACGAGTGCAATTAGGCCAAAATGTTATTTTTAGTAAACATATTAGAAAATAATATTGAATGATTACCTGGCCTGGATTTATGGGCAGTGTGAGGTTCATAGTAACCTGAGATTCTTGATGATGATATCATCAGACCCTGACGCAAGGGACAGAACAATTGTCCCAGTTTTGACCTCAAGGTTGGACACTTTGGGTGCATCTTTAATTTGATGCTTTATCACTATGTATTTATTCTTCACTTCCATTTTTCGCCTTTCCCTGTTGCTGCTTATCTTCATGCACACCTTTTACACAAAATGTATACAACCAAGAGGCCTGGAAACAAAACAGATATAACTGTGATTAGATCAAATTATTCACATGGAGTTGATGGGACAATTGTTCTGTCGGTTGCGCCAGGGTGTCAAAAAACATTGAGGTTTCAAAATATTTTTTATTTTAATATTTATATTTTTTTTTAATTTTTTTTCTCAATTTTTTTTAATTTTTTTTTCGATTCTATTATTATGTCATACTAAAAAATTATTATTAAAATTAATTAAACTATATATGTGTTTCTGGTGAAAATTTGATCGATTTCGATTAAATCGAGACTTGGGTTCTAACCAAATTTTAATCACGTAGATTCTTTTTATTTAGGCTAGCAAACGGTTTTCAATCGAAAAATGCATGAGAATCGAAAATCCCACAGTTTCAAAATGTAAACAACACAACTTAGTATGCAAATTGAAAATACTGTTTTTTTTTTGTATTTTTCATTCAGAGACGCGAAGTAAAGAAAATAGTAAAAATGTCGAATCGAAAGATAGTGCAGAATATTAAATTGCAGAAAAACGTAAAGTGCGGAAACCTTAAACTTGCATTAAGTGTAAAAGGGCGAAGAATCGAAATTGCAGAAATGTAAATAGCAGGAAATCGAAATTGCAGAAATGTAAATAACAGGGATCTTAAACGCATAACCTTAACTTGCATAAAAGTAAACGACAGGGAATCAAAAAGATACAACTTAAAGTTTGACAAACGTAAACTGCAATGAAAGTAAATTACCAGGGAAAATAGAGAAAGCGATAAAGATAATCAATGAAAACGGAAATCCAGAGCATTAGAAACTTCATGATGCGTCGTTCTCCTGTAGACTGTTCACTTGCGCTTCTTTTGTCTCTGCCAATTTCCCCTTCTCCTTCATGCTTCATTCTATTTATAGGTCCTGCTTCAACGTAACTTCCTAAGAGCAGTTTAGAAAACTGCCACCACGTTCCATGTGCACGTACTTTAACTGTCTCTCGATTTTTATCTTAGCTGCGGTTTTGAGAAAACTGTATCCCACGTTCTGTGTGCGTGATAACCGTTCCTTTGATCTCGACCTCATCCATCGAGTATTTAAAACTTTCTGGCTTTCTACTTAACTTCATACTTAATACCTTTCATCGATTTTTCTTCCCCACGATCATCGAATTTCCTGTATTTCTTTCGATTCTCGATTCCAATTCTTGAATACGATTTCCCTTGACCTATTTTATCACTACCTTCATCGATTCCCCCCTTTTTTCTCGATTTTCGATTCCTACTTGCGATCCACGCGTTCACACTAGTGGTCATCAGGTATCTCCCCACCACTCATACGATCTTCGATTTTCCTCTTTTTTCTTTCGATCCTTGTATCAATTTTCCACTAACAAAATGCCCCCTTAGAAGAATATAAATATTCATATTTATTTTATATTCTTTCAAAAATGCTTCCCGCCTTCAAACACCCTGGAGGCCCAAAAAAATAACTTTTAGGGTTTTAGGGTTTCTGGGGGTTTTTTCTGCTTTATGTCACCCATCAAATCGCCTCCTTTCTGTTGTCATACTGCACACGCCACATTAATTACCCTCTTCCCATCCGTCGTTTCAAATACCCTAACTCGACCTCTTAAAATACTTTTAACAGCTTTTACCCTTATTTTTTACCACGAACCTCACTTTCCCCTCGTTTGCCTATCTTCATCTTCAACCTTTTGTCTTCCTCTTCTCTACCGGCTAAAATGGCAACAACCTCAAAATCTTCTGATTTCTCTGCCCCACCACTCTCCTCGGTGACCTCTAACCTAATAGAGATAAATGGGAGGAAGTTTGTTCCGGTTCCCTTGATGGAAGAAGCCTCCCAGAGGATCGCCGAGACCCAGGTACTTATCCCTTACATTGCTGAAAATGTAAGTTATGCATTTGGTGGTCCTATCCACTACTGTACCGGATCATTTTCTTCTTCTCTCAATCTTTCTTCGGAGAGCAAGGATCCTATTCATCAGTCTGAAGTTCAAATTGACTTTCTGAATATTGTATCTAAAGTATACCGAACAGGCCCTCCCCACAAAAAACCCTTGTATATTAGGTGGTTTGATTGAGTAAAAACCAAGTTTGGGAACCATTGGAGAGATGTGGGGATCTTCGATTTCCTGCATCTATATATCTCGATGTGATTTATCCTTTTTAGATATGACTATGTTCTTATCCGCTGTCCATCTATGGAATAAGGACTTGCATGCACTGGAACTCCCTTATGGTCCACTTTTACCCACTCTTTTCGAGATCGCTGCAATTATTGGATTAAAGCCCACAGGGGAGAAGTACTATAAGGGTGCTTTCCCCTCGGATAATTCCTTAAGGTCCAAAATCGATTGGGAATCGAAGGCCTATGGACATTGTCTCGAGAAACATTTTATCGATGATCCAACAGTGGCTGTTTCTGATGAGGAACACGTGGCTTTCTTGGTATACTGGCTTTGTACCCATGTTTTTTGCCCTCGATCCATTCAGATTTCGACCCACCTTTACAACCTTGCCTACCTCCTTCACACTGGGCAACCACGAATTTGTCTAGCAAAAATATTATTGGCCCATGTTTACATTTCTTTCGATGAGGCTGTAGATATTTTGAATACCCCTAGGGCCTCGGGGAATTTTTCAGGTCCCATTTGGTTCATTCAGTTATGGCTCACTTCAATTTTTGAAAGCATTCTCTCTCCAACCTCCAACATTCTCACAAGTTTAAATTTGGAAGGTGCTCGATTGTCCTCTCAACATCCTCACCACAAACCCGACGAGACCACTTATTGCAATTACCTAAGATTTTTATTAACTCGATTCCATTTTGATTCAAACTTGGCCCCTTTCACCGTGTATCAAGGGAAAGTAAGTGACAGGCTTCGAGGGCCAGTATGGTTTAAGTCAAAATTCCCTGCCCTAACTCCCGGGTTACAATCAGAACTGGTTGACGTGTGGAGTAATTACCTAACTCAAGACGTTCTGGTATCGGGTTTTCAATCAAAGGACCTTCAACTTGTTACTTATTATCCCCAGCTCTTCTCGCGACAGTTTGGATTGAGTCAAGCTTTACCCTTTTTTCCTCTCGATACCTCCTCAAAGCCTAAACTAAGTGAATCGATTGTTGGACGGGAGCTTGCCAAGCTGTTGCCAAAAGACCCGATGCATTTTTTCCCTTATATTTTTGAATCGAACTATTTATCTACACTTGGTTTTTCTCAGTGGTGGACCGATTGGTTTTCAAATATTCATTCTAATTTTGACATAGTCCAATCAAAATTGACTGTTCGTCCTTCTCTCGTGTTGCAGGACAAATCGAAGGCGAAGAAAGGTACATACTCTCACTATCTCCAAATATCTCGATTCGAAAATTTTTATCGAGCATGCTACAACCCCTCGAAATTAGAAGAGACCTTTTATGATGTTGTTATTTCCCTAGTCAACAAAACAGACACTAACCGATCAAACCACAAAATAATCAATCCTCGAGGTAAAACCCCATTTGAAATGTATTGTCCTAACCATCTTCCAACTTTCCCTTCAGCCCCTTTTGGACTAGTCAAACCTTTAATTCATCCTAAATGGGTTCGAGAGTTAAGATCCCTGAAAGAAACTCTTTACCCTAAACCTAAAAACAAAGAAATTTCAATATCAAAATTATCCTACTTCCCTTACCTAAATCTCCCTCAATCTCTTCTTCCTTCCTGGCTTGTTCATATCGACCGAGTCAAGATTTTGACTCCATCACCCTTTGGTGAGATTTTTATTGCCTCTTTTAAGAATGTTTTTAATCTTCTTCAAATTGTAATCTAACGGTTTTCCTTTTTTCGATAGTTTCGAAGCCTCACAAAGTCATCGCCTCCGAGAAGGACTGAGAGTCCTCGGACGAGTCAGACCCATCGGCCCCCACTCATAAGCGCAAGCATTCTGCCACCATCTCTTCATCTTCGAAAAAATCGAAGGTTTCTTCTCGATTCCTTATTGTCTTATTGATCGATGTCGTACTCGGTCAAATAATTAAAACAGATAAATGTAGTATTAGGAAGCTTTCCTAGGTCGTCTCCCAAAGACCACAATTTTCTATCAAAGCTTATCAATTTTTAGTAACAAAAAATTAAAAGGGGAGTTTTTCAAAATTAAAATATTAGATGAAACAGAACAAAAGCAGATTATAAAAATGCGGATTAAAAACAGATTAAAATGCAATTGATTTCCGATTCTAATGCGAGTGTCACTTATTCTAGATTATGAAATTAATTCAAAATTAACCAACTAAGCGAAGATAAATCCCAAATTATATTCTAATTCAAAATTAATCAACTAAGCGAAGATTAATCTCAAATTAGCTTTAACCCTTGTTCCAATATGAAATTAACCATCTAAGCGAAGATTAATCCCAAATTTTCCTTAACCCTTATTCCAACATGAAATTAACCAACTAAGTGAAGATTAACCCCAAATTATCCTTATACAATTAAGCATTGCATACATCACATAATCTCATCTCTAACACAGAATTAAGCAAATTGTGATATTAGTTTCGGTTTATTAAGCATAAACAGATTATAATTCAACACTGAGATTAGAAGATGAAGAGTTAAGAGAACAAACAAAATGAAATTGAAGAACAAAACCTCAAAGATCTACTTGCATTCTTCTCAGAAAATCAATACAAAGATTTAGCTATCCATGGAAAGTTGAAAACGCAATAGAAGAAACATAATTAAAATCGAAACAAGAATTTAAAAATAATGACAGAAGAGTAAACAAACTTGAATATAAATTGAAGAAGATGAAAGGTGGAAGTGTGGTGGCTGCGTAGTCCTTGTGTGATGTGTGTCTTCTGATGTGTGATATGTCTCTCTTATATAAATAACCCTAACCCTAATCTTTATTGAGGTTTGGGCTCAACTGGTCCATGAAACACATCATAAGTTGG